TCCCAGCAATAATCGGAACAAATCCGAGAAACAGGTACCTGCACCAGGAGGAGCCGCTACAGCAGTCATGGCAGAAGGGGCGCCTGCGCCAGGGACTGCTGTCATTGTTGACGCTGAAATGGATATTCGCTATCAGTTAGATAAGAACTTTATCCAGAACTGCTTCGCGGAGTACTAGTGATTACCTCCTGCAGGTACTCCTCCTAGGGCGGTCATTGTTGAAGCAGGTTTCAGAGCTGTCATGGTCGAGGCTAAAGGTCGTTAATAACATACTTGTTAATAACGACAATCAATCAGAATAAATACGACAAAGAGGTACCTCCTCCGGGAGGAGCTGCAAGGGCAGTCATAGCAGAAGGAGCACCACCACCAGGAACAGCTGTCATTGTTGAGGCTGGAAATAAGATTGTACTAACAGATTCATACTACAGCATTTTTGAAATTGTTATAGGATGCTTGTAATCACCTCCAGCTGGGACTCCTCCCAGGGCAGTCATTGTCGAAGCAGGTTTCATAGCTGTCATTGTGGACGCTGAACAGACTAACATTTCTTCATAGTGACGGCAACGATCAGAATGAATACAATAATGTACCTCCACCAGGAGGAGCTGCTACAGCAGTCATAGCAGAAGGAGCACCACCACCAGGAACAGCTGTCATTGTTGAAGCTGGAATTCAGATTTGTACGAATAAAGTCAGGCTAGCTATGACAAGGATGCTGAGTTATGGGCAGAAGCCAGACCCCAGGCGAGACTCAAACCCCCATCTCCCACTGACCGGGCTCTCACTCTCCCAACTCAACTGTGCTATCCTCATCATACTAAAACAACTTTAGGCTACAGCATTATTTGAAAATGTTGCTGAGAATGCCTGTAACTACCTCCGGCGGGTACTCCTCCTAGGGCGGTCATTGTCGAAGCAGGTTTCATAGCTGTCATTGTTGACGCTAAACAACGGACCTTTTCGTGACAGTAACGGAATGATCTAAATGAGTCTGAAAAGGGTACCTCCACCGGGAGCAGCTGCCAGAGCTGAGAGCTGAGTCATAGCGGAAGGAGCACCACCACCAGGAACAGCTGTCATTGTTGAGGCTGGAATTAGGAATTCATCGAGAGATTCGGACTAAAGTATTGCTCAAGAACGTTGTTCGAAATGCTTGTTATCACCTCCGGCTGGTACTCCTCCCAGGGCAGTCATCGTTGAGGCAGGTTTCATTGCCGTCATTGTAGATGCTAAACAGTTACTTTTCAACGAAGACGTCAAATGTGGATTACAGTGTGCACTGGGGTGTCAAACAGCTTGAGAGTAAGAAAACTTCGGCATGAAGGACGAGCTTAAAGACAATTATAACAGATTCATACTACAGCATTTTTGAAATTGTTATAGGATGCTTGTAATCACCTCCAGCTGGGACTCCTCCCAGGGCAGTCATTGTCGAAGCAGGTTTCATAGCTGTCATTGTGGACGCTGAACAGGTAACATTTCTTCATAGTGACGGCAACGATCAGAATGAATACAATAATGTACCTCCACCAGGAGGAGCTGCTACAGCAGTCATAGCAGAAGGAGCACCACCACCAGGAACAGCTGTCATTGTTGAAGCTGGAATTCAGATTTGTACGAATAAAGTCAGGCTAGCTATGACAAGGATGCTGAGTTATGGGCAGAAGTCATACCCCAGGCGAAACTCAAACCCCCATCTCCCACTGACCGGGCTCTCACTCTCCCAACTCAACTGTGCTATCCTCATCATACTAAAACAACTTTAGGCTACAGCATTATTTGAAAATGTTGCTGAGAATGCCTGTAATTACCTCCGGCGGGTACTCCTCCTAAGGCGGTCATTGTCGAAGCAGGTTTCATAGCTGTCATTGTTGACGCTAAACAACGGACCTTTTCGTGACAGTAACGGAATGATCTAAATGAGTCTGAAAAGGGTACCTCCACCGGGAGCAGCTGCCAGAGCTGAGAGCTGAGTCATAGCGGAAGGAGCACCACCACCAGGAACAGCTGTCATTGTTGAGGCTGGAATTAGGAATTCATCGAGAGATTCGGACTAAAGTATTGCTCAAGAACGTTGTTCGAAATGCTTGTTATCACCTCCGGCTGGTACTCCTCCCAGGGCAGTCATCGTTGAGGCAGGTTTCATTGCCGTCATTGTAGATGCTAAACAGTTACTTTTCAACGAAGACGTCAAATGTGGATTACAGTGTGCACTGGGGTGTGAAACAGCTTGAGAGTAAGAAAACTTCGGCATAAAGGACGAGCTTAACGAGCGAGAACAGGTTCCACTAGCAAAGCCGAGATCGCAGTGGTCTAATGGATAGCTGAATGTTGCACTGCTACTCAACGAAGGCCTGAGGTGCGAATTTGAGAGATCACGCTACGGTTTCCTGAGATTGGCAGGGTATGTAGCTCTGAGAGCCGCTGCAATGCAACGAGACAGTTATCAGGATGATGCCAACTCTCACATTGTGGAAGCGAAGATTTACAAGCCTTTCGCGCATTCTCGAAACGAAGGGCAGGCGCTAGGCAGCGTTCAGACTTCGCGAGGGCAGTGGTACAGTAGCGCGTTCGACGCGATCGACACTGTTGAAAGCATGCGCATCGAAGGCGTCGAACGCGCGACTGGCATCGCGAAGTCTGAACGCTGCCTAGCAGCTGCTAGATCGCTCTTAATGTGCCCGGCTATGTATCAAGTGAATGGTTTGCCATATAGTTGGGCATTAGCGGCTCGCAACAGGCGATTCAGCGGCTCGCGACAGCGCGGATTTAGGCGTCGCGACAGTTCATGTTTCCTACGCTTTTCTCAGCCGCGGCGTATCTAGTTAAATTGTTTGTTGCACTGATTAAATGCACATCATTAAAAGTAATAAAAAGTGTTACAAAGAGTACCTCCACCAGGAGGAGCTGCTAGAGCAGTCATCGCAGAAGGAGCGCCACCACCAGGAACAGCTGTCATTGTAGAGGCTGGAATAGGACATTAATAATGCGCCGTCGTCGGAGAGTTGCTTTCTCTCTGGAATTTCGGAGATGATCACCTCCAGCTGGTACTCCTCCCAATGCTGTCATTGTTGAAGCAGGTTTGAGCGCTGTCATGGTCGACGCTGAACTGATACGTTTGAAGATATGTTATAGTCTAGATGGCGGTCCTTACCATGTGCGAGGTGTCATTTGCGGAAGCGTGGCCCTCCCGTCGCTCACATATGCAGGATAGCGAGGCTGGAGGGTAGTACTAGATGGATGTCACTTGAGGCTCCACCGAAGGACGCAGCGCAGCTATATACTTAGGGAACCCAACTGCACTTCTTGTCTCCCTCGTCTGATTAGGTAGCTGTTGCTCTCTTCACTTGGCTCCGATGGGCAGCCTGCCGCTAATGTTGTTCGCCGCAGGATCTCGGCATCAGAGCAGTTGCACGCATAACGTGCAGAGGTACAGTCGCGAAAACTGGAAGAGTGTAGTACTTAGTTGCTAGGAAGGGAGGGTTGTATTGAGTAGATGGGGATCGCGTCGTAGCTTATAGTCCTCACCAGTCGGATCACCCGGCTGCCGCCGGGTGCTCCTCCTTTCACGGCTCGGCTTCGCCGAGCCGACCTGGCTTCGCCAGGCCCCCTCCCCTTAGGCGATATTAGAATGGATAAGGAAAGTCCGGGTAAGTAATTACCTTATGGGTTGCAATAGAAAGGAGAACTTAGCATTGCTTGAAACTGTAAAAGTGTGTCGGACAGCTCGAATGTTACACCGACAGCAGTCACCATTCCCAATTGTTGACTTCCTTCCTTATACTGCTTGAATTGCGACCGCTCCTACCGCGAAATTTTTGATTGATTATTTTCGTCGATTTCCCGTTTCAGCCGCTATGCGACTCCCCCCCCCCCCCCCTACGACAACATTTCAGTTATCAAACACCTCGGTGACCATTTTTTTTCGTTGACATCGAAGAAATGAGTTCACCCACTGAGCCTCTAATACTCGGCATTATAGCGGTAAGAAGTGATCAAAATGTAGCGCAGATGGTATCTTATCGGTTTTTATCGATTGATAAGATTACCTGTCACCCGTCATCAATGTCCTCATCACTAAATCTCTATGTTTTGGTAGCGTGAACCACCTTGAACAGCGACGACGACTGCAACTTTCCTTATCAGCCCCTACCGGCAATGATCTCTTCCAGACCCACGGCTGATGTCCACGATCTCCCTGCTTGCTACTCCACCTGCTAGAACCAACGCCTCACTGCCGCTGTGATCTGCGATGTGAACACCCAGTGACCATAACTTTCTAATGGCGTTATCGAATCTTATCAGGTGCTGACACTTCGTGTCACCCACCAATGATAATCATTGTCCCATACCCTATATCATCTCTTGAAAATGAATACCTAACTGATGCTTTCATCAGCGTTATGAATGTGGTGGCGATTCCCTTCTAACGACCCTTATCGAATCTTATCAGTAGATATCACTTCCTATCACCCACCAATCTTCCCTCCATTACCATTACTATCATATCTGAGAATCAACAGCCAACTAATGCTGTCACCCGTGTTATGAATATGGTGACCGTCCCCTTCTGACGCCCCGTATCAGATCTTATCAGTAGATATCACTTTCTATCACCCAACAATAATCTTCCCCTCCCATGCCCTATATCATATCTTGAAACCAAAGTCTCTCTGCAGCTGTGACCGGCGTTATGAATTGTCGACAACATACAATGCAACGTATCGTGACTACACACACACCACACACACCACGCAACACACACACAGACACACACAGACATACTTAGCGAATTATATATAGTAGGATCATTGCAGACGGGTGGGGCGGCTGAGCCGGCGCTGCGTGTGACGCGACTGTGACGCGACTGCCACTAAGCCGCAGTCGCTGTCGCGTCAAGTCGCGTCACACGCAGCGCGGCTCAGCCGCCCCACCGGTCTGCAATGATGAGGACTGTACCTAGTTATTTTTCCGGATGCATGAAAACTTTTTTAGTTATTAGCTCACCCCCGTTCATGTTTGCTGTACCCCCTAGTTGGTGTGGCCGCAAAGCCACTTCAGCCACTGCCTCTGACAGTTGATTTTAAGAACTGGCGATAGCCTATAGGCCGATAGCCCATAATCATTTTCTCTCATTTGGAATCCTTTGTATTGAGAGTCCGTGACTTTCCTTCAGGACAAATATCCCCACGGATGCCAGCCTATATTCTCCAGTCCCCACCGTCTTACCCGGAGACGATAGTGGGACGATGAAAAAACTTCCAAGGATGGTTGGGAGAGTACTTGTGCTCGAGGAGTGCATGTGGTGATTACACGAACACTGTCATTTCAACATCACTATGCTGAATCTTTTGCTGGAGACTCAAACAACATCACCGGAACTTCCGGCCTCATTTTCGCTCGCGCGTTTCGATAAGGAAAAATCTTCATGATTCTGCAGTTGCGGGACCTCCCACAAGGCGTACAAGCTTGTATTTCATGGAGATATACGTAGTTCCTAGCCATCCCTACTATATATAAACGGCGACGTCTGTCTGTCTGTCTGTCTGTCTGTCTGTCTGTTTTGTCTGTCTGTCCGGAAATTCGGAACTACCTGAAGAGCCAGTCTCAGGGGGCGGGTCAAGGTTGGGATGGGTAGGGCATGGGCCAAGATGTAC